AACTCAACTGAGTGATCATTTCCCAGCAATCAACCCGGGATAACCATAAAGTTTGATCTATCTACTTTTGTTCTTGTGCCTTTTCTAAACCGTAAAGATATTTTTCTAATTTTAACCTTCACCGATTTGTTTGATAATGACGACTTTTAACTCCTCCCACTCATTCGGGATCTGACATCACCGCAAACCGTTGTTTTTGTACAAAACTAGTTCTTTTTCGTTATTCCCATTTCATGTACACTGGAAGTTTTGAGACTTAAAAATTTGCTTATTTAATAAATGCCTGCTTTTTTCAACTGCATTACGCTTATACGCACTTGCATTCTGATATGGGTTCTCTTTCAGGTGTACAATATAGTTGAACTTGAAGATAATATTGTTGGATTCGTTTTGACATCTTGGGTTGATGGAAACAACGATATCTTCTGGTCAGGCTGTTCCACAAAGAAGCACAACCTACTTCTTCTTTTCTGTTTTTTTTCTTTGCTGGTGGGATTCGAACACACATCCCCGGAGTGATAATTTGGTGACGTTACCACCGCCTAAAGAATTCGATCTTTGTCCGCAGTGGAAGAAATGCAAGATAAAATTAGTAAGAACAAGTAAATTGTGTCCCTGTGTATGTCAGCATCCATGTGTCCGCAAAAACTAACGAAGTAAAGAAGTCTTATTTTAATAATTCTTACAGATCCTCGTCTTTAAGATTCCACTATTTGAGTTTTCATAAGTTAGAATCCTATGAGCGCACTGTCAAAGAAACTTTGAACTATATCGAATAGCACGTGATTAAGCCGACGAAAGAGCAAATCCCCGACTGGAGAAATTGATTCATGCATAGAAATCACACGTATACAAGTGGTTTGAATAATTCGCACGTACGATGATTTTCGCAACTGCTACACAGTGCTCTAGACCGTCAAAGAGAATTGGGCGCGTGGCTATTTGGTCACGGACCACCGGAAAAACTTACCCATCCTGTCACTCTCTGGCGAATCAAGTCTGAAATTATGTAACTATCCCAATACGATTTTCTCGATCCAAATGAAACCAAAAGCACCGAACTGTATCCGGTCGATCACAATTAGTTTCGCCTGTTCTGGATAGTGAGTTCAAGGCCATCGAGAAACATGTGGATCGATAACAATTTATGGTACTTTTGGGTTATGCACACAGAGAAATCGTCTAACAATTAGTATGAGTCGC